AAAAAAAAAGCATTATATAAAGTTAGGTATGATTAGGTGATGTTCTTCTTCTGTAGGAAATTGTAGGTTGGAGCAGCCAGAACATGAGGTCATAGAACATAGAGGTTCATAGAATCCCAGGATGGTTCGGGTTGAAAGAAAACTTAAAGCTCATCTTGCTACACCCTGTGCCATGAGCAGGGACACATTCCACTAGACCTGGTTGCTCCAAGCCCCATCCAAGCTGGCCTTGCACACTTTCAGGGATCTCAGATGTTTGTGGTAACTGTTTCCCAGGGCCCTTTCCTGGGGCAGGTTCATGTCTCCACACTCCCTGGTGGGGTCAAGACCAGTGCCAGCAATGGCTGAATGGGTCTCTTCTGCATGACAAGGCCACAAGCAAGGAGCAATTTATTCAGGTTCTAAGGGAGCTCCAGACCCATACTGCCTGGTCAGAGTTATCTCATCCACATGGGATTGCCTTTTGGGATTGGTGTCAATAGCACCACATTTCCTGTGCAATTTTGCTGCTGTATTTTGTCATTCCTTCCACACCTTCTTCTGTCACAGCTCCTTTATGCCTGAAATCAGAGTGATGGTCAGATTGTAGCGGTAGAACTCACCTTCACCTGCAGGATCCAAAGTGACACTGTTTCAGAGCTGTGCTCAAGGACCACAGCCTCCAGACCCCTTCTTTGGCTCTGGAGGGAGAGGGTTAGGTTGGCGAATCAGGTGGGGCTTTGGGCTTTACAAGAAATGGAGACTGGGGAGGTGGGTCGGGAGCTGACATGCTTGGAGCTACAGGAAGGAAAACAGAAAAACACTGGGGGGATTTTACAGCTCAGCTGGAGCGTCAGACCAACAGGACATCTCACAGGCTCCCCAAGGCAGTTGGCACAGCCCCAAGGCTGACAGAGCTCAAGAAGTGTTTGGCCAATGCTCTCAAGCACAGGGTGGATTGTTGGGGTATTGTGCAGGGCTTGGACTGATGATCCTTGTGGGTCTCTTCCAACTCAGAATATTCTATGATTCTGTGATTCTATGATCTCCAGTGAGTGCTCCTGTGGGCACACAGTTCATGTAGTGGCACCCACACAAGGAGAAACTGCAGTGCAAGAATGTTCTTTGAAATGGGATTTTTCTTGTTTTAGAAGTATCATTTGGGGAAATGTCTTGTAAAATTGTGTTATGATCCTTGTGGGTCTCTTCCAACTCAGAATATTCTATGATTCTGTGATTCTATGATCTCCAGTGAGTGCTCCTGTGGGCACACAGTTCATGTAGTGGCACCCACACAAGGAGAAACTGCAGTGCAAGAATGTTCTTTGAAATGGGATTTTTCTTGTTTTAGAAGTATCATTTGGGGAAATGTCTTGTAAAATTGTGTTTTCTCTCCTTTTTCTTTTCTCTCCAGTGATTTTGTGAAGCTCCTTGGTTTCACTATTTAGTCACTGTTTATTGGTTTTGCATTTGGGGATTATGCAATAATGGATTATTTGAAATTTCCTGTTCTTTTCATTTATGTATGTTTGTGATTACCAGGGGAAGCTTTTCCTGAGCACTGAAATAAATACTGTCCTCTCCTAAATCAAAGCAACCTCAGCCACAATATGCTGAGGTTTCTTCACGGGGAGCAGAACATCAAAGTGTTTGTTCCAACACAAGCAAGAGGCACTTTGATCTAAAAACAGACTTAACCTACCAGCAACAAACACTAGTGGCTTAGAAATGCAATGAAAAAAATGTTTCAGCATTGATATCCTGACCTCAGGGTGCAGGAGGTCAATACCACCTTGTGAAACAGCATGAAAATGAAACATGGGGGGTGGGAAGGAAAGGTCACCAAAAAAAATACACTGAAACATAAAACTGCTTTAAAACTCATATGTGAACTGTTGCCAGACCTGAGGCACCTGAAGTGCTCAACTACAGCAAGCCCTTTGGCTGCCCCTCCATTGCTTTGTGCCTCATTTCCCATCCATCCAGCATCACCTGCCAACACCTCACAAAGAGCAAGGTCTGCCTGGCTTAGGTATCCACATGTTTTATTGGAGGGTAATTGAGGCACAAGAGAGGAGACAAGGTGGGCTTGTTCAGCTGGGAACTCCGCACCCCAGCATCCCAAAGGGCTCAGCATCACCCACCTGTGCCCTCCATGGCCAAGCTGAGGCTGCAGCACGAGGTGTGTGTCTGCGAGGACGGGATGAGTACACAGCTGCTCCTCACTCCACATGGGCATGGCCTTGGGTCCAGCGTCTTGCCTGCAAAAAATTAGGGCACACTTGTCTCAGGCTGGTGGTGGAGGTCAGGGTCAGCCTGAATCCTGGAGGGCAGCACAAAGTTGCCAGGACACAGTGGGCATGGGATGCCAGCGTGGAGGATGTCCAGCAGGAAGGCAGAGCCTTGAGGGTGAGCACTGGCTGTGTTTTTCTGGAGAAGGCTTCAGCACAAAGGTGAACCCATCTGAATATTTGGCCCCTGCAGCCTCCCGCAGCAACAAGACCTCCAGGATGAGCATGAGCATCACTGAGGAGTGCAGGACTGGGATCCTTATCCTCCACAGGATTTAAGAAGAAATGTTCAATTTAAGTCAAACTGAGTTTGAAATGCAAAATCCAACTAGAAAAAATAAAGCCCAAATTTTCTATGCTTGATGCTGATCCACTGCCATCCTGATCCAGCATCCCAGAGAAACAAACCCTGAGGAAAGCTCGGGAACCAGTTACACTGCAGAGGAAAGCCAGCCTGGAGCCAGACAGCTTCCCTTGCCCTCCCACATTGTTCTTTCCTAAGAAAAGGAAAAAAAATAAGCCTAAGAGCTGAGAAGGAAGGAAGGGAGATTGGCCTGTGACAGGACTACAGGCAGGCTGAGGATCCAGCATGAGGGAAGCTGTAGAGGAACAGAGGAGACATCGGTGTCTTCTTTGCAAAATATCACCACCAAGATGCTCAGGGGCAGCCATCTACCCACAGCCAGGTCCTTCCAGCACCTTGTGGTCCTGCCCCCGCCCTGTGAGGCAGCGTCTCCCCCAGTGTGTTGCCCCCTCCCACCTCCCCATCCATGGGTGCAGTAGCAACTGCAGGACTGTGCTGCCTGTGTTTACAGCCAGAGTGAGCTGCAATGTCACTTCCAGCATCTCAAGATTGAGTCTTTTGCAGCCTCTGGGCTTTGCCTTCTCTTCCCCCCTTTAGGGATTGAAAAATCACAGCCCATAGCTCTGGATTCTGATTTCCCTGGAACACCCACATTTAGGGCTGATAACAGGGAGTTCACCTCCAGCTATCCCCAAACCAGCACAGGCAGCAGCAACACGGTCCCATCAGCTCTCCATGTCCCTCCAAGCACTATCAGGCCATCAGCCCACGCTTGTGATCATGCGTTTGCTCTGTTTAGGTTTTGCTCTATTTAACTGCTAGATTTAGGACCTAACTCTACCCAGGTAGTTCCTAAATCTGTAAGTATGCATCACCAAATCCAACAGCTCTGCTGCTGCAGGAGGAGATGGACAGACACATGAGAGAATGCCTTTGAACACACCACTCAAGCCCCAAAAGCATCCTGCTCACAGCAGCTTCCAGAAGCTCATTAAAGGTTTCCTGCAGCACTCAAAGTCTTTGGAACCCACTCCAGCCCCATGTGGCCTCTATTCCTGACCCCAGGGCTAGATAAAAGGCCTGGTGCTGAGCCACTCAGGCGGATTTCCACTGCCTATCAAGCAGCAGCACCACGGGGACAGCTCCTGGCCATGGCTGACAGCAGAGAGGGCAAGGGAGGCGAGGAGAGGGGTCTGTCTGCAGGCCAGGAGCTATAGCCAACCCCCTGTCTCTGCCTGCACAGCTGGCAGGCAGCTTGGTCTAGGGCTAGGAATGGGAAGCAGATGCCAGCTCTCCTCTGGCTCAGCTTTATGCCTGATACCAACCTTGGAATTGCATGTCTGCAGCACATGGATATTGCTGCAGCAATGTATGTAACCTTTTCTCCAAGGTGACCACTCTGGGGAGCAGCAGGGGTGCAGAGAGGGCAGAGGTTGCCTA